AACTGCTTCCATCATCTGTCAATCGGCTCGTCACAAGAGTCCATCACGACAGAAACCCAATATTTTTACGGTTGCCTTTGTTATATTTGTGTTTTATTTGTGCTGATAAATAAAAGTCTCCCTTTATTTATTTATTCTAGTCTCCCTTTATTTATTTATCAGCACAAATATATATATAAAATCTGTTATGGTAGATAACATAGCTAAGAATTTTCATAAATCTCTTTGTCCAGCTCAATTATTCACTTAAAAATATTTATATCTTACCTGTTTTTTCCAAAACAGTTCTGGATAGCACACAGCAGATATGTTTACTAAATAACCCAGCTCTTCAGTAGTATAATATCAGTAAAGTTATATTTCATTATCTGTGCCAATAGAGTCCTATGTTTGCTAATAGCATTTTTTTTTCCAAAAATAGGGAAGTAATTAAGTAGGAAGAATCATTCTATTTTTTTACTCTTATCTTTTCATTCCAGCTCTCTTTTGGGGTTGTCACTTGGTTGCTAGTTTTTTCTAACCAATTGTTTTTTCTTGGACAGACTTCAATGTGGAGTACATTCAACGTGGTGGCTTACGAGATCCTTTAATCTTCAAAAATTGTGATGGTCTTGGAATAAAGTGAGTGGTGGAAAAATAACAATTTGACATTAGAGAAGATCACTATTTCCCCTATGATATAATGTGTTACTGAGCCAGAATGCTTTGTTTGTGCTTTCCCGGGTTTTTGACAATGACTGGAGATGGGACTAGTGTAGGAAGAGACTCAACTGACTATTCTAAAGCTTATTTTAATGCACATGATATTGAAGTTGACAATAATTGCATGTATTCAAATTAGATGCGATATTTAGTGTAGGATCTATTGAGATGTTAAGGTTACTGATCATAAGTTGTGAGTTTACATTTAGTTACTATAGAAATAAGGGTACAATCCGGTCCTTAAAATGCCTTCCCTGGGTCTGAAGATGTACAAATGTCATCCAGTCATGAATTTTGGAACAATGTGATATATAATACAGGTAATACAACTATCTGTCTTAACTTGGAAGAAGTCAATTATCTCTAGACTGGTGTTAAGCATACTGTACTCAGGACTCAACACTGGATCCCAGCATTCTTAGGTCGATAGTCTTAAAGCCTCATTGTTTTCTTGACTTTATTTGCCATTCAGTCAGATGTTGAGAAAGAAACTAAACAAATAGCTTATTTTTTAAAAAAAGTTTGGCATTTCTATAAGAGATTTGCAGGAAAAAACTTACAAGGTAGAGAGAGAACTTTGTGTATATAGCATAAAGAAGAGAAGGTTGTAAGAAGACACAATTGCTCTTTTCAACTTTCTAAGAGTTATCACAACAGGATTGGTCAGGAGGATATCCTAATGATAAGAATTGTTCAACAGTGAAGAAGACTGCCAGTGAAGAAGTTGATTCCAGAAAAGGGCTTGAACTACATTAACAAGGACCCTTCCAAGTCTTACATTCTATGATTTCATTTTTTTAATAATAGACTGTTTTTCTTGCTAAAGTAAACAATCCTCCCATAAAAGCATGTACTTTCAATAATAATTGATTGTTTTGACCCCATCAAAACCTATTTTGTTAATCACTGAGGCAGTTATTTTTCCTTTCTTTAATTGAGCAGGCATGTTTGAGAATCCGTGCTGTTGATCCAATTGAGTTGGTTCAAGTAGAACCCTCTATTTGGTATTCATTTAGTGCTGCACTGTGTATCTGTTGCTTTTTCTAGACATTTTTCAAGGATAATTTATCCATTGAATGTATTGCAATAGTTACAAGAGAATGTAAGCAATGCATGAATAACTACTGCCATATCTGATTGTGGCTAAGGAAAAGTTTTTGCTAATGCACTAGCTGTAGTTGTCAAATGGCTCTTGGCTGTAATTGATTTCTGTTATTGAGGACCAAAGAGCAAATTAGGGATCCTTCGGTGATCCGGAGTGCTCAGTAGAGCCTCCGGGACTAAGAGGGGTCCTCCGACGGTTCGTAGGGGCTCCTGACTCCTACCTGGCCCCTAGGCGTGCCAGCAGCCGCTGATGAGCGTCCCGGTGCTGTCAGAATCGCGTGGAAGCGTGGGAGGCTGGAACGCTCCAAGCAGCCTGATCCACGCTGAGGAAGGTTAATTAGGCAAAATAACTTCTTTCAAGGTTAAAACAAAAAAAACCTAGGTCTAACTAAGGCTACACTGTGGAGACAAAAATTTAAAAGGCTACACTAAACTAATTAGGAGAAATCCAGCTTGCTATCCACGTACTGGAAATTTCAAATACATCCTTTTAGGGCGACTGAGTTTTTCAAACTGACCTCCAAAGGGAGCAGGAGGCGTGGCTACACTAAATATTTAAACTCAGTCCTTGGGCAGCAAGCTGAAGTTAACCCATGCTTGGACACTCCAAGCAGCGTCTAGAGAACGACCATTCAGGTAAGCCAACAGTCATTTGGTATTCATTAATTTAGTGCTGCACTGTGTATCTGTTGCTTTTTCTATAAATTTTTCAAGGATAATTTATCCATTGAATGTATTGCAATAGTTACAAGAGAATGAAAGCAATGCATGAATAACTACTGCCATATCTGATTGTGATTAAGGAAGAGTTTTTGCTAATGCACTAACTGTAGTTGTCAAATGGCTCTTGGCTGTAATTGATTTCTATTATCATTGAGGATCAAAGAGCAGATTAGGGATCTGTTTTAAAAGTGAGCGCAGCCTCTTCCAAACCAAGACTGAACTTCAATTCCCCAAGTGTAGTTTTGTATCTGTCAATAGAATTCCCATTTTGCCTGGATTGAATTTCAACTTTCTCCTTTATTCAGCCCATTCGGCTTAGATAATGTTTGAGAATATAGGCAGGATAGAAATAAAGTAAATTACAGTAGCTATTAACTGGATCTTGCTACAATAAGCTATTAGGAACCAGCAGATGGCAGAGTTGGACCATTTTATCCAGTTGTTCACCCTGTTAAGGTTTTATTCAGGTCACTGATGTAAAACTGGCTAGAGAATGATGTCCCTGGCAACCAAGATACATAGACTTTGCTCACTTTCAGATCATTAGCTCCACCCAAACAAAAATCCAGCATATAGCATTCAACATGTGGCCAAATATCAGTTTGGAAAGATTTTTCTTTTATTATCTTGGAAAATACACAATTGTAAGCAATTTTTAACATGGCTGCCTCAGTAATTCATTGAAATCCTCAGAATTTTAAGAAATGAAATAAAAGCTCATTCTTTTTGACTGCCTTAATAGGATTTTTAGATAGTGGGATGTAAAGTATACAGTTAGCATCTCTATACTATCCTGGCCATCTATATCCCCTCAAAATTAGCTGACAAAGGGAATATCTAGATAATTAGAAAGAGTTCTTATAAATCACAACTACCCCACGTTTAATCCTAGCCTAGTATATTATTGAACAGCACTAGAAGATAGAGGTCTCCACTCACAGTTCTTCTTGTTATATCTCAGACCAGTACTTTCATCCATAATTAAATCCGCATAACAAAGTTTACCAATAAATGATCTGGCATTAAAGAGTAGGATCTTCGGGTTGGAAGGCTCAGGTCAACTTGTCTGCCTTAGTCAGACTGCAATCTGAAGAGAAGGAAGGCCAGACAGCAGCCTATCCTCTGTTTCCTGCATTGGCCAAATTGCAACCTGTAATATTGCTCCCCACCTAGCCTCTCCAACTTCTTGCCTGTAAACAGAACAAAGTAAGTTACCTCCCCAAGGCTTCCATAAGGTTTTCCTAAAGTACACTGTATTACTTTTAAAACAGCATCCTTCAGTCTAACATTTTGAAGCTGGATAACTGCAAAGAGTTAAATAATGCAATACTGAAGAAAATAAAAACTAAACAATGAGAGCCGCAGCAATGATTGTTTTGCAAATTAAAAGCCTTGGATGTTTTTAAATACACACCTAGTATTTAAAGAACAGAGTAGCATCATGTCAGCCTCCCTAAGAAAAGAATTCTACAGTTAGAATTCCATACATGAGAATTCTTCTTTCCAGACACCATCCATTTTGCTTGTAAAAGTATCCAGAAAGTAACATATAATGATTTTACAAGATGGTACTAGATTTTACAAGATGGTACTAATAACTCCTTTGGGTATTGGGGCTTCAGTCACATTGGACTATAAAATAGCACTAGCTCTTAGCTCTATACTTCTTCACAGTGTTTTACAGCCCTCTCTCAGCTGTTTACAGAGTCAGCATATTGCCCCCAACAATCTGGGTCCTCATTTTACCCACCTTGGAAGGATGGAAGGCTGAATTAACCTTGAGCCGGTGAGAATCAAACTTCAGGCAGTTGGCAGAATTAGCCTGTAATACTGCATTCTAATCACTGCATTACCATCTTATAAAAGATTATACATACAGCTATGTCTATTACAAATGGACTGATAATGAGTGAGAATGTTGTCCTACTTGTGAAGGGTACTGATTATTGTATACCAAAAAGCTAACTAGCTGTGTTCCGAACTAACTGAAGTGGGCAGACAGTCATCAGAGGTTGCCACATGTAATGGATTCCAGTAAGCTAATTTGGAGGATAGCTATAAATGGATACTGAAGCCATACTGTCTCTGTCTAAATAAGAAAAACCAACAAGAGATGCTCTATCTGTTGATCTATTGAGTTTATCTGTTGAGAGTAACAATATCAAACAAGAAATCTGATTTTTAGGAGCTAAAATGGTTTTCTAAGTGAAGAGTGGACAACATTTCATGGTTCATATTGCAGTCCACTAGAGTAAAATTATTGGAAGGTACACAGTGGGCGCAGTTAGAGCAAATCCAAAACTGGCCAAAATTAAAAATTAAAAATGAACAGGAAATCCTTCTCTCTGCTTCATTCATCATCATCCCAGAGGTTATATTTTTTGTTCCTCTTTAGGAAACAGCAACATATTCTCAAATGGTTCCTCAATCCATTTTTTTCTCTTTCAGTTGTTCAGTTAAATACTCGAAATACTTTTTCTGTATTCATGCACTTGCCTTACAAAGAGATTTTCTTCCCTAGTAGACAAAGAAAAAAAGGTTTCACTTTCTTATAACACAGTTAGAAGAGCAAAGCTAAGAAGTAGAGGTAAAATTCAGTGGCAACAGGTAGATTAGATACATGCTGAATCTGTCCTATGAGATGCATATTGGGCAAAGACTGGGTATGCATTTTAACAGGATGTGCATTCAGGTCCTGAATAGCTGAATTCCCCTTCCTGACAAAAGAACCACCTGTGAATCTTGTCTGAATGTTAAAAAATTTCAGTACTTCACTTGATATGAAGAGCATCTCATTTCACATATCTAAGTGACATAAAACAGAGGTTTCATGTTGTCAGTGCTCAATCAATAAATAAGATAATGTGAAAATTTACAGGACTTAGTAATATAAATATTACAGAATTGTTCAAAATTCAGCAGGAACTACTGCAGCGAAGTATGGAACCACTTATCCAAAGTTCAAGTGCATCTTTACTCAAACAGTTTGTTCAGAGAAATAAAATAGTAAATTGTATTGGAGGCTTTAAAGAAAAGTAAGAAATTGGCTTGGTTATATCTCTAGTTTTACATGATGGATAGTTTTGAAGCAGACTTGTAAGAGAGATAGATAAAAGACCACAGCATTAACTGTGCAGAGGGAATACTGACAGTGTGACTGCTGCACATTTTTTTCTGTTTCAGGATGCCAGAACCAGACTTTAGTGTGAGTGATGTACGGCTCTATGTAGGTAATTATGCATTTTTCTTCTGAATTAAACAGGCATGTCAAGATAAAAGTTGGTATGTAATTTACGTGTAGAATTTAATTTTAGCAGAACTTTTAAATTGTAAAGTAGTCTCTGGTCTTGAAGGGAACAAAATGAAAAATGTTTGTTTTAAAGATTAATCACCCCTAATCAGAAGGCCTTGGATAATTATTCTATACCTTGTCCTTTATATGACCTTTATCCCCCCCCCCCCTCTCAACTTTTTAAAAACCATGTTTTATGTGTTATCCTGCCTTTCTTGGGCTGGATGTTATTACCGGAAATTAATTAATTATCTATTTATCTTATCAACCGATAGGGAGTCGTAGGATGGTGGATGTCATGGATGTAAACACACAAAGGGATATTGAGATGACCATGGCTCAGTGGGCACGCTACTATGAAACACCGGAGGAAGACCGAGAGAAGTTATACAATGTTATCAGCTTAGAATTCAGCCATACCCGGCTTGAGAACCTGGTGCAAAGGCCAAATACGGTTAGTTTGGTGTTTCTTCTTTCCCTTGACAGTATCATTTTTTAATTTTATTTTGAAGGCCATTTAAATAAATTAAGGAGTCCATAGTATTAACTTGGGTCATAGTTTCAGTCATGGATTCAGATAATATCCGAATAACTTATACTGAGCTGCCAAAAGCAATAATATCAATTGATATTGTTATTGCCGAAGCTTCATTATCCAGCATACATTTTTAATTTTGTACTTAAATTACAGTAGCAATAAAAAGAGAGAAATGCTGATAGGAACTATCAAGGTTGTCATTGTAAGGGAAGGGAGAGGGATAATGTGCTTTTCTCTCTCTATTTGTGATCATAGTGTCCTACCCATGATCCTGAATTTCCAGATTGCTGGAAATCTTGGACTCAAGAATGGAGGGTTACCCCTAGGTGAGGGTTCTTTGCTATCTAAACTCTGGACACACCACAGCAGAACAGATCTGTATACAGTGCTTTATTGCAGCACACACCTTTCCCAACAATACGCAATTGTTCCCCACTCTTAACGATTTTATAAGCTGATGTTTCCATGTAACATATTACCATGTAAGTATGTATTTAATACTCAGTCCTCTAATATTTAATACTTAGTTAAAATAAAAGCCCCAAAGTCTTTAAATTGACATACAACCTTTGCCTTCTTCCAAAAGTTCTTACGTTAATTGGGATAAATGCTGCCTCGGTGTGGTTGCTATCAGACTCCCAGGAAAGCTCCAGGATCCAGGCCGGAATCCTGCTAGGATACATGGCTGACCTTAGCTTGTAGTCCTGGCAATTGACTGTCTGGAAGAGCTGCCAATCTCCAGCTTCCCTGTCTGCTTCAGCTTCCCTATTGGCTTGTCGTTATCTTATCCCCTGTTTTCCTGCACATCACTTCCCTTTGTTGTAGCATTTACTTTTGTAAGCCAAGAGCCTGGGTGGGATATGGCTGCCTCTGGATGTTAAGACACCCTTGAAAAGAACAGGGTGTGGCTCAGTTATTGCAGGCAGTGGGAATACGCTGGCAGAGATGCTTGTGAGTAAAGTTGTGAGTGAATAAATGCATAATGGAAGTGGGATGGGAAGTGTTTCTGTCTGGCTGCATCTGTTTTGGGTTCAGTCTCAATTTAAGCTTGAGTTTGGGGAACAAGAATATGAAGAGGAGACTTGTACGTGGTTGCATGATCCTATCAACTCCCTCCCCCNCCAAGTGATCTAAGAGATTATAGTATGACTTAAACCTAGCTATATGTTCACCTCAGAGGTGGGTTGCTAATTTTTTTTACTACTGATTTGGGTGCGCTCCCTCACGTGCATGCGCAGAAGCATCCGGGCAGGTGGGTGGAGCCTCCCGCCGCCGCTACTACCAGTTCAGCCAAACCAGCAGCAACCCGTCTCTGGTTCACCTTTATTTATTTAATGCTTTCCCAAAAAACTAAAACATTTAATCTGATAAGATTATTCCTTCCTTTGTATGCAGATATGGAACTGTGCAATGCAGAGTCAGGAAATGTGGATGAAGACGATGCTGTGGGCGGAAAGGAATCACGTCGTCCAACCACCAGAAGGTCAATCCTTACCAGCCCAGTAGCTAATGGTGCTAATCTAGACTATGATGAAATAAGTAGAGGCTGTCGAAGTTTGCCAAGTCTTAAGAGAACTCTCTCCATGGATTCTGAATCCAGTCGAGGTTCCCAAAATGGCCAAGCATGGGATTCTCACAGCAATTGTTCACTTAAAGACAAGAAGGTACACCTAACACAGTTTGAGCTTGAAGGTATGCGTTGTCTTGTAGACAAGCTGGAATCTTTGCCTCTACACAAGAAGTGTGTACCCACAGGCATAGAAGATGAGGATGCTCTTATTGCAGATGTTAAGGTAAGATGGAAATATTGTCTTTTTCTATAGCTGTGTCAAGTTAAGGAACAGTAATAACCAATTGAAATATTTAATAAGGACTGGATGATATAGCCAACTGTGCTGCACTACTGCAATCTTGTTTAACACTGGAATCAAAATAGCTATTTTATTTTGTACTTATCAAAATTCCTGACATTATTCAATTTGTCTTTGAAAATGTTTCTGCCTTCCCTGCAGTACTAACTAGAAATAATGCAGATTTGTCAGTCTGGGAATAATATCCGTGTTTCCCCAAAAAATAAGACCGTCTTATTTTCATTTGGGTCCTAAAATAAGCACTAGGGCTTATTTTTTGGGGATATCTTTTCTTCCATGTACGGGAGACCCACTTCTGCTTGCTCGCAGAGGGGCAAGAGGCTGCATGGCACATCTGTACTACCACCATGAGGCAGTGGGGATGGAGCTGCCCCACGTGCTTGCACTGGGTTATCTCAGGGCCCCCACAGCCAAGTCACCCATGCCCTGACACTTGCTTTGCCTCACAGTCAGGGCACCAACAGCCCCATTCAGCAGGACCCTGCATGGTTGCCGGCCCACTTCTGCTTGCTCGCGGCCTCAACGGAGCAAGAGGGCAAGCAACACACTGGTGCCGTGGTCACAAGGTGAGGCGGGTGGAGTTACTGCACACGCACCTCACCAGCTTACTTTAGGGCCCCCGCAGCCATGCCCTGAAACCTGCCTCACCTTGCAGCCACTGCACCGCTTGGCCTCCTGCTCCATTGCGGCCATAAGCAAGCAGAAGTGGGCCAGTAGCCACATAGGCTCCTGCCTCATATGGCTGCTAGTGCTGCCACCACGAGGCAGGTGTTGGGACGTGGATGGTCTGGTTGTGGGGGCAGAGGTAAACTAGTGTGGGACACATGGTGCAGCTGCACCACCTCACCTCGTGGCCATGGCACCACAAACAACCAGACAGAATGTAGGTGGCCAGCTCCGCATGTTCTTAAGTAGGACTTATTTTGAGGATAAGGCTTATATTAGGCACAGGCATAAAAAAACACGCTAGGGCTTATCTTTGGGATTTGTCTTGTTTTTAGGGAAACAAGGCATACCATTTCATTTGCATCCCAAGAGAAGGTTCAAAAAATTTTACACATCCCTAATATGGGCACAGTTGTTACCAACTTACATTTTGGTAATATTTTATAACAGGGATATCAAACTCACGTCATCACAGCAACATCACATGACGTACTAGGACTTTTTTCCCCTTCTTTAAACCGGGCATGGGCAGCACGTGATGCATCCAGCCCCTGGGCTGGGAGTTTGACAGCCCAGTTTTATAACATGTATCAATAGTGTTTCATATATGATACTTACTGTTACAAAATTGTTTCATGGAAATGACACAAGGAAGTTCCTAAATTTTATCAGTATGAAATACTTCCTATAGAAAGGCAACTATGTATCTTCCATGTATTTGCCATTCATAGTCCCTGAATAATTTGAGTATATCTCTGGAAGGATTTGTTGGAACAGAATCCTTGGTAAAAAAAATAATACTTTTATTTATGCTAAAAGTTGCCATTGTTAGATTCAATAATACTAAATATATGCTCCCAGCCAGCCAGCACATAAGCACAAATATCATATGGACATAAAACTGTGAAATATTACTACAAATTAGTAATTTGTCATTTGCCTGAAAGCCAATTAATTTTTTAAGAAAGCAGAACATAGTAGAGTATCCAGTGCTCCATTAACTTCTGATAACCTCTTAAGACTGGATTCACCATCTATTAAGACTATAGCTTGCTTATGAAAAGTTTGCTGAATTGTCTGGATTTGCCTTATATACTAAACCATAAATCATAATTTGCCAACCAATATCTAGATTCAGATAATACAAGTCAAACCAAGTCAAATCACATTAGGGTATTATATGCATCAAAGCACAATAACTTGATTTGTGTATTTTTGCTCCTTCTCTCTGGATTTTTTCCCTCTTGTGGTTATTTAAAGGGGGGAAGGATTTATTTAATCCAAGTGATCAGCAAAGCCACATCATTCAACTTGAAAGGCAAGACTGAAAAATGTTTCCTTATTGGAGGGTTATTACAAGGGTGCACGTGTATGTGTATATAGAACCGCAAGCCATTATGTCTCCTAGAGATAACAGCTGCCATTTGTTCAGTTGTTGTTTTATGGGTACTGCATGTCATTTGATCTCTCTACTGAAAAATGGTGACAAATTCAGAAGTTTCCATAGAAATGGTAGTGTCCAATTACATTGTGTAGTCTGATAAAAATAAAGTGAGCGCTCAGTTAGAAATACTGCTTAGTTGTATAATTCCAGGTAATGTTGCTGGTGGAACCCACAAACAATTCATAGTAAAAAAAAAATAAAGCTATGAAAATGTTAAAACATTATTCCCCCAATGTTTTACGTGTTAATTAAAATGCTGTGGCTTGTTCCAATATACCTGTAAACAACTGTGTACATTTGAAAGGGGGAAATTTTGAATTACAGTCTGCAGGCATTTTATTTTACAGCATCTGTAGGTTGCTCTCTTGTATTCAGCAAGTTAGGGGATATGGCCACAATTCTGCTTAAGGCTGTTTAAAATTTTAGTAAGTTTGAATGCAGTCATCTGTTAATAGTTCATATACATGCAAACTAAAACATTAATGTATGTAAAATACGCCAACTATCTGTTGTACTACAATAGCCGGTTGCATATTTTGAACATTAGTCCCTGCAACATAGGCATTTACGATCTATTGCTTGTGATATAGCAGCTTTATAAATCCATATCTTTAATGTTTGTGAAATCACTTTTATCCGCTTTAGCCTTCTGAATATACCAGCAAACATATTAAACGCCTAGTTCAGGGAACCAGTAATACAAGGGTAGCATCCAGCAATACCTGTTTGGCTAGTACACACACAGCACAAACTTGTCTCTCATATTCTGTATCGCAAGTTTGTGCTGAATTTCGAAAACGTTTGATTCATGAGCAAGGGGGGTAGGGGGGACGAACATCAGGTACAAGTTTCACTTTTACAACGAGCTTTCCGTGCAGTCTTTTAAACTCACATTTTGAACATAAAGCGGATGGGTAGCTGACGGGCGTTAAGAA